CATCGCTCATTTCTTTTTTCTTTTGTGGTAAAATCACAATAGCTTTACGTTGTTGTTCTTTTATTTTGACTTCTTTCTTTCGTTTATCAGGTATTGAGCTATTGCAAGATTCATTATCAGTATGCATTTCTTTTTTAAGCCGTCTAATTTTCTTTCTAGCTTTTCCCTTTTGTCTTGCTGGTAGCCCTGATAATTTCATTCTATACTTTTTTCCAACTTTATTACGTTTGAGACATTTCTTATTTTGTCTATGTTTTAGCTTTTCAATTCCTATACGTTCATGAAGACGACCATCGATATCTACATAACTTTTATCAGAAAATGAATTTTTGTTAGTGTTAACTATAGTTAAAGATTGTTGCATTAGTTTCTTCACCTCCTTTTGTTTTTTTAAAAATGCACGTATATTAGCATTAGTAGAATTGAGCATGCATGCTTTTTTCCGAATTTTAACCAGTTTTGATAATCTCTTTTTACCCACTTTAGCTATTTTATTATACATAAGAGATTTCTTCTTTGGCTTACGTTGAAACTTTACAGCGGTTATTGTATCATGCCTACTAGAATCGGTTTCGCATTTACTGTTCCTATTTGAGTTTTCTGTACGCCTCTGTGTAGTTGATGACTGTTCCATGAGTTTCTTCACCTCTTTTTGTTTTTCCAAAAACGCACGTATATTAGCATTAGTAGAACTAAGTATGTAGGGTTTTCTCTGATGAGGGGCCACTTTATTGCGTTGGAGACATTTCTTTTTTTGTTTGGGTTGTAATTTTACATTGGCAAGATAACCAGCACTATTAGAATCAGTGTCCACTTTATCCTTATCTGCTTCAAAATTTTCTGTATTAGCCAGTGCAATCGATGAATTTGGCATTAGTTTCATCACATGTTCTTGTTTTTGAAAGAATGTACGTACAGGAGTGCAAGTGGACTTACTGGATTTCCATTGAAGAGGAGCCTTCTTTAAGCCTTTCTTACGATGTGTATTACTAGCCTTTAATAAGAAAGAATTTTTATTACACTTTTTTGTGAAGTATTTATTCCTGCAGTTGTACTGATACTTACATTGTCTGAATTTTTAATTTCACCGAAGTTCAGTGTGGTTTGATTTCCTGGCATACCAAAATATTGCATGCTGTTATTTGGATCAATCACTCCACCACATGTTGGACAAATTTGTGTTCCCGTAACGTTGTTAGGCTGATCTTGCCCATTTTTTTTCATGTTTATTTCCGCCATTATTTTTTGTTATCAAAATTATCTACAACCGTAAAAAAATAAAATTTTTTTTATATGAGATAAACTTTCATTTTATTTATGAGTATAATTTTTTATTTTATTTTTTTTAAAAATCGAAAACAACTAGATTAAATTTTTACTAATCTACAAGTTGATAACTGCTATGCACTTTACTAGTAATAAATTATTTCTTAGATTTCAAAGTAATGGCGATTTCGATTGGTAAATCAGGATTCAATCTAGATTTATTCTCGATCTGTCAAATTTTGTTGCTAAATCGAACATTTTTAGAGTGATCTAACATTTTTGTAGTAGTGCTAGTAGAGATTTATACTTTCCATCAAATTTCTTGTCAAAATTATCTACAAACGTAAAAAAATAAAATTTTTTTTATATGAGATAAACTCATTTTATTTATGAGTATAATTTTTTATTTTATTTTTTTTAAAAATCGAAAACAACTAGATTAAATTTTTACTAATCTACAAGCTGATAACTGCAATGCACTTTACTAGTAATAAATTATTTCTTAGACTTCAAAGTAATGGCGGTTTCGATTGGTAAATCAGGATTCAATCTAGATTTATTCTCGATCTGTCAAATTTTGTTGCTAAATCGAACATTTTTAGAGTGATCTAACATTTTTGTAGTAGTGCTAGTAGAGATTTATACTTTCCATCAAATTTCTTGTCAAAATTATCTACAAACGTAAAAAAATAAAATTTTTTTTATATGAGATAAACTCATTTTATTTATGAGTATAACTTTTTATTTTATTTTTTTTAAAAATCGAAAACAACTAGATTAAATTTTTACTAATCTACAAGCTGATAACTGCAATGCACTTTACTAGTAATAAATTATTTCTTAGATTTCAAAGTAATGGCGGTTTCGATTGGTAAATCAGGATTCAATCTAGATTTATTCTCGATCTGTCAAATTTTGTTTCTAAATCGAACATTTTTAGAGTGATCTAACATTTTTGTAGTAGTGCTAGTAGGGATTTATACTTTCCATGAACTCATATGTATATCGAATCAAATCACACTTTGTCTATTAAATCATGTAAAACAGCTGTTATTTTCAAGGTAATCTTGCTACTCTGGCAAAGTATCTAAAATGTTATAAATAAATTTCGAGTATTATACTTCTGGCCCTAGATTCAGCGATCGAAAATAAATCTATACTATAAGTGTATTAAAGGAGTATCTTGATTAAAAAAATAATCCAGATATACTAATCGAAAAAGCCATCACTAATATAATTAAATAAAATAAGTTCATCGACTTTTTTAGAGTTCTTTTGACATTACTTAAATTCCAATTTTACAAAGTTTTATGTCAGTGTTGAAATCTTTAGTCTACAACAGAACCAACTTTGATTGGTGTGGATCAAATCCAGGTGGTTCGTATTTGACCATTTGATTATATATTCCATATCTTCGATTAGGTATTGTTTTAGATTTGTCGTCACGTCGCACAGTGTGCCAAAACAAAAATTAGCTGATCAAAATTCGAAATTTTCTGAACCAGTAGAGATATTGAAATGAAATTTTCCTAAAACTTTGTTTTTGAGATGGCCTTTCTTTTGAATTTAATTTGATCCTTATCAGCTACCAGAACCCATCAAAATTTTGGGTGAAAAATGATGCACTTTTACATTTTCTTAGTTCCCTCAACAATTCTCATAGGTAGAAAGTTAAATTTTGGTGCCCAAAATACTTACATTATAATACATATTCTTCAACTTTTTCACCCAGTTTTTGTTTAATTAATAGTAGGGTAGAAGGTTTGCGATCCAAAAAACTTTATAGAGTTATCATAGGATACTACAACTGCAACTAGTATCTGCTCAAATCAGGTATTCCCGAGTGCGATTAATGTTAATATTCCAATGAAACACTTAACTATTAAATAGCTAGCTTTGTAACTAGTAATTGAAAAACAGGAGCTAGAGGAAATTGACTTCAACGAAATTAAATTTGAGTAGCTTGTCCGTTTTCTTAATAAAACAACAAATTAATAAGGTTTGGGATGGATGTACATAAGTCTTTGGACTTTAAAAGTTGTTTAAGAAAATTTTGGACTTCACATCTCGTATATATCATATGAAGGGTAGTTTGAGTTTTTCTAATCACACGACAAAAGACTTGATTGAAATTTACTTATTTGAGAAAGAGGTTTTTTCGAACAGTAGTGAAATACAACAACAAAAATTTATTTTATATATTATTTTTAATTAATTGAATTTTTGGCTGACCATACTGCTGTTTCGAGTATTGCCAAATACCCATCATCAGTGGTCTTGGAAATAATTCTTGTATTTAATTATTCGTAAATAATTATTTTTTGAGACTGCAAGTACCAGGAATCGAACTCGGGTCCTGCCAAATGTGAAGCTCAGAATCAGCGCACTTTAACTAACTGATCCAAACTGATAATTAAAATTATTTAGAAAATATGCTCTCCAAATAAAGTAAAAATAACAATATGATAATATATTTCAATATAATTATCTTGCAAGATATATAGAAAAGAGAAAAGAGTGGAACGCAGTAGGCTTTGACGAAAGTTGTGTCAGATGGAAAACAGTTGAAGAAACATAAACTATAACATTATAAAATGAAATTAACCTAAAACTAATAACAATTGAGTGTACAATTTTAGAATTAACTTAGCTCTTCTTATACTTGTATATGTACTTGCTTTACCTAATAATACTATACTATGTAATATGAGATATTACAATGGTGTAAATTTACATAAAAGTGATTCTTTCGACTAATAATAGTCGAAAATAGTAAAAAGTATATAGAAGGTAGGTTGAGGGAGTTTAAATATTGAGAGAGATGCAGTGCATTAAGAAAAAGTTAATATTTAATAAATACATTTGTAAAACGCGAGTAGTAAAAAGAACATATCTTGTTAAGAGACTACTTACTATAATAATTTGAATGTTCTATTGTTACTTTATATCAGTCATTTAGACCGTTTACGGTCATTAATATATATGGTATATAATGAGTGTTAAATAAAGGTTTTAGTATTATAAAAAAGTAGCAGTTGTAGTTTTTTTGAGAAATTAAAAAGAGTATTTTTATATTTATATAAGGCTACTCTGCTGTAAGTAGTCGTAATAAGAAGGCTGAGAGCAATCGTCTCATAGAAATCTGTAAATGTATGGAAGGATAATTTTGCATCTATATATGGCATCCAAATAATGATGATCAGAATATTTTTATGTCATCCTATTTATGAAACAGTTTTAGTGAGTTGTTGTTAATGATTAAAACTATTGACATAAATAAATATTCAGTAATAATTATTAAAAAAGTAATGGAATACATGACTACTGATTTGTGTTGACAATTATACTCGTAATTAATTAAAAATGATCTTCCAGTTTTTTTTAATTATTTCAATTTAATAAAATAAATTAAAAGTTCACTTGACTATTTTATTAACATTAAAATAGAAGATATATTTCAGCTAGTTTCGTACTTTTTAGAGAGGTAACAATATATTTCAATATTTCACTTGTTAAGTACATTAGAAATTTTGAGTTAGTCAAGACAATTTGTCAGTATATAGTCAGTATTCACAGAAATGATGCTTTTTCAGTCAAGATCCCAGCGGTGCTTATATCTACGTTTGTAGGGAATTTTATTTTTGTATTTCTGAATTAGATCGTCATAGTTCGAACGCCTATTACGTTTCTTGTGACACAAAGCAGTACTAGGTTGGTAACCATTAGAGAAGGAATCACTTGAATCACTTTCAGAAGAATCATTTTCAGAACAAGCATTTTGAGATACTGAGTGTTTTCCACTTTTCTTATTATCAACACTAAAAAGAAATGTCCCATATGGTAAAGGCGAATTAGTTTCTATAACATATTTGTAACCATCGCTCATTTCTTTTTTCTTTTGTGGTAAAATCACAATAGCTTTACGTTGTTGTTCTTTTATTTTGACTTCTTTCTTTCGTTTATCAGGTATTGAGCTATTGCAAGATTCATTATCAGTATGCATTTCTTTTTTAAGCCGTCTAATTTTCTTTCTAGCTTTTCCCTTTTGTCTTGCTGGTAGCCCTGATAATTTCATTCTATACTTTTTTCCAACTTTATTACGTTTGAGACATTTCTTATTTTGTCTATGTTTTAGCTTTTCAATTCCTATACGTTCATGAAGACGACCATCGATATCTACATAACTTTTCTCAGAAAATGAATTTTTGTTAGTGTTAACTATAGTTAAAGATTGTTGCATTAGTTTCTTCACCTCCTTTTGTTTTTTTAAAAATGCACGTATATTAGCATTAGTAGAATTGAGCATGCATGCTTTTTTCCGAATTTTAACCAGTTTTGATAATCTCTTTTTACCCACTTTAGCTATTTTATTATACATAAGAGATTTCTTCTTTGGCTTACGTTGAAACTTTACAGCGGTTATTGTATCATGCCTACTAGAATCGGTTTCGCATTTACTGTTCCTATTTGAGTTTTCTGTACGCCTCTGTGTAGTTGATGACTGTTCCATGAGTTTCTTCACCTCTTTTTGTTTTTCCAAAAACGCACGTATATTAGCATTAGTAGAACTAAGTATGTAGGGTTTTCTCTGATGAGGGGCCACTTTATTGCGTTGGAGACATTTCTTTTTTTGTTTGGGTTGTAATTTTACATTGGCAAGATAACCAGCACTATTAGAATCAGTGTCCACTTTATCCTTATCTGCTTCAAAATTTTCTGTATTAGCCAGTGCAATCGATGAATTTGGCATTAGTTTCATCACATGTTCTTGTTTTTGAAAGAATGTACGTACAGGAGTGCAAGTGGACTTACTGGATTTCCATTGAAGAGGAGCCTTCTTTAAGCCTTTCTTACGATGTGTATTACTAGCCTTTAATAAGAAAGAATTTTTATTACACTTTTTTGTGAAGTATTTATTCCTGCAGTTGTACTGATACTTACATTGTCTGAATTTTTAATTTCACCGAAGTTCAGTGTGGTTTGATTTCCTGGCATACCAAAATATTGCATGCTGTTATTTGGATCAATCACTCCACCACATGTTGGACAAATTTGTGTTCCCGTAACGTTGTTAGGCTGATCTTGCCCATTTTTTTTCATGTTTATTTCCGCCATTATTTTTTGTTATCAAAATTATCTACAACCGTAAAAAAATAAAATTTTTTTTATATGAGATAAACTTTCATTTTATTTATGAGTATAATTTTTTATTTTATTTTTTTTAAAAATCGAAAACAACTAGATTAAATTTTTACTAATCTACAAGTTGATAACTGCTATGCACTTTACTAGTAATAAATTATTTCTTAGATTTCAAAGTAATGGCGATTTCGATTGGTAAATCAGGATTCAATCTAGATTTATTCTCGATCTGTCAAATTTTGTTGCTAAATCGAACATTTTTAGAGTGATCTAACATTTTTGTAGTAGTGCTAGTAGAGATTTATACTTTCCATCAAATTTCTTGTCAAAATTATCTACAAACGTAAAAAAATAAAATTTTTTTTATATGAGATAAACTCATTTTATTTATGAGTATAATTTTTTATTTTATTTTTTTTAAAAATCGAAAACAACTAGATTAAATTTTTACTAATCTACAAGCTGATAACTGCAATGCACTTTACTAGTAATAAATTATTTCTTAGACTTCAAAGTAA